TGCTCCATTGTTTAGAATATTGCTGCGGTATACAGACACAAAAATACACAACTAAAGTGTGACTGTGAAAAGAACTTTTAATTAAAGGCCCTACATTACGGAAAATTGACGCTTCCTTTAAGCCATGTTAGAATGTTGTTATCTCATCAAAAACATACCTGGAGCTGTGTTTTGTTTCGTTCACACACGCTTAAGTAACCCTATACTTTTAGTCTGTCTACATCTCTGAAACTCTGCTCTGTTCCACCTTGTGATGTCATGTAGTGGTACCTTTTAACTTTTGTTCAGTAGCGAATGGCAATTCTAGGGCTGAAATCTTCCAAATGATTCTAGTGAAGTTGTATGTGTGTGTTTTCTGTTTGAGAAAAGAACTTACTTTATGTGTGAATAAAACAAAACACAACTCCAGGTATGTTTGTGATGAGAAAACAACATTATAACATAGATCAAAATAGCGTAATATGAACCCTTTAAAGTTGCACTATAGCTGTCTAACTTGGTTGAGGGCGGCAAAGGAAAAATTCAATTTGTCAGCTGGACAAAAGTTTATTTGGTTGAATATGTTTCGCTGCTCATCCAAGCTGCTTCTTCAGTACTGGTCAGACACTGGTGCACACTTCCTTATATCTGTCTGAAGGGAGAAGCTAAATAACCACCCTGTAACTAACACAGCTACTTGTTTACAGTTTCTGTTACTTAACTAGGCCTATTGAACTTGAGTGTGAGGCCATATTAGCATGAGTGTGAGGTCATATTTGTGTAACCATTCAGCTTTCACACCTCTGGACCTGACCTGGCTACAGTTATTGTTTTCTTGTTTTGATTTAGGTTTGATGATGGAGTTGTAAATAGGAGATAGATGGTGTCTGAAGCCTCCATTTCTGTTTAGAGAAGGATTCTCTTTCTTAACAAAAATGGCTTCTTTCACTCCCCTCTCAAATCAGTTCTTTTCTCTGGCTAAAATCTGTACCTCACTATCCTCAAAAGAGTGTCCCGTGGCTTTTAGGTGAAGATGTACAGCAGACTGAGGTCCACTGCTGCTCTCTCGTCTGTGTTAGTACCAGGGATGGGCATTCGATGAAATTTTCTTAATCGATCGTTGGAAGAATTAACGATCGATTATCGATTAATCATTAATGTTTTTATATTAAAATGATCATCATTATTATTACTATCTGCACTAATCTGCATAAATAAATTCAACTTTATGACATATAAACCGTAACCACTCTAGAGCCACATCAATCCATTTGAGATTACAATGTGTTTAATTCAGTTTTGCGCAACTCTCACAGAAACAAAACTTAAAACCGCATCGCTAATTTGCATAAACTAAGCGAAGATAAAACTACAGCTCTTGTGTCGCTGATGCGGTCAATTTCTGTTGGATTAAAAGACATGACTCAGTGGAATACAGGTTAGTGTGGGGACTCGTCATCGACATTGAGCGACTCTCACCTGGCAAAGCTTTTTCCCGCTGGACACCGAAACATATGTTCCTGCTTTGTACACTGTGCACATGGCCTCCCACTTGTCCCAAACGCAATGGAAAGCGTGGAATTTCTTGTACAAATCATCATTAAATACACATTTGTGCTTCTGTACGTTGCAGACTGACCGAATGTTTCTGTTTGCTCGCTCCTTCTGAGTGCAGAGAGAGACACATGTACGGACCCCTGTTTGGTCACGCTACGCACAGCAACCTACATTCGGTTTGTCGATTAAAATTAACGTAATCGATGAAATTCTTAATGATCAATTATCAATTAATCGATTAATCATGCCCATCCCTAGTTAGTACATCCTCTTGTGAAGTGGCTGTTTTGTGGTGGTTTGGTTGAGGGCCCATCATTCACTTGTCTCCACAGATATTTTATGTTCCACAATATGGCATTAAATTTGTGTTTATTTAATAATTATTTTTTAATGTAAATAGAAATGTTGTGTTGCATATTGTGAGCGAGGTCAAGGAATTTCAAGATTATGTTGGTCACATACTTAGGGAGTGGAAATATACTGAATATTATTATGTAAGAATGACTATTTAGACGTTGCTCCCTCATGAAAAACACACCCGAAGAGGTTTTAAATGTCATCCATGCGTGTCTGAGTAATCTATCCATCCATCCATTTTCGTCCGCTTATCCGGGGCCGGGCCGCGGGGGCAGCAGCCTAAGCAGTGAGTAATCTAGCGATCTCAAAATCATGTCCAACACTCATCCCATAAACCAACATCACCCATGCACTGACAATTTTCCATAAACACACAAATCATGATACAAAAATACACTACAACTTCACAAACCTGATGCGATGTGCAGTAGTACAAACATTTCACAGATTTAGAACCTCATTTATAAAACTTTCTAAAATAATATACAGTAATAAACTAAGGAAGAGCACATTCTTTGGAATAAAACCAAATCTCGGAATAATGATTCACGCCAAGCCAAGCCAAGTTTCATGTTCAAAACGAGAAACAACACACACTTGGCTTGTCTTCTGTTGTCATAGAAAATTGATACCTGACATTATTATCTTTTGTTTTGGATGTAGTCAACAGTGTGTTTAGAAATAAAGTCCTCTCACCTCTTGTTCAGATTAACTTTCACTTTTACAGAACACACCAGGCCCCTGTTTTGGTATCTTGAGGTCAAGTGTGAGAGCGCCTGAGTCTGATGGGAATGTCCTGGCATTTCCCTGCATGTGGGATAAATTTAGCACAGACAGAAATCTTTAAAAATAACAAACTGATTTACTTTCAAGTTGTATTATTTATTTATTCATTTCACAGACTAATGTTGCTTGGTAATTGCGTAATGTCTCATCAAATATAAAATAAATAAATAAATGTACACGATGACCATGTTGTTCTTTGCTGTTTTAGGTTCCCAAGACAATTTTCCAAAAGCAGAAAGCAGAATGAGCTACCCATTTTTGGTTGCCAGATTTTATGACTAAAACCAGTGGGGGAAAAAAAAAGAAAGAAACATAAAAGGACTCTCTCGGATCTGAATCCTCTCTGCCTAAACCCCAGCACCGACAGCCAATCATGAATCAGCAAGCGCAGCAACTGTTAAACTGTTCAAGTGCAACTGTTGTCTACATGCAGATTCAGGCACTGGCAATTCAGGTTCATTAATGATTCATAACTGTAGTCTAACTTCTTTAAACCCTATAATTCATGCACACTTTTACTTATGACTGGGCCTATTTGCAGTCTGTTGTGTTCTAAAAGGTGATAAGTACACTCCTGTTGAATCAATAGTTCTTCCTTATCTATGCTTTTGTTTATTTTGTTTTTATAAACCGTGGCATGCATGACAGAATACGTCAATACGTCAAGTCTAACATTTGTTTGTTTTCAATTTGTGAAAGCACTGTGTAGCATTATTAGGCGTTTCATTATATTTCATGTGATGTGGTAGACGTGTTCTGAAAATGTTTGGCTTATAGGTTGTTAGTTTGTGAAACCATAATTCAATAAAAAGTGAAAAAAATTGCTTGTTTGTTTGCTAAAATAATTACATATTTTCATACCAGACTTATTTGTCCATCTTAACTTAACTTGTATTAGTTTTAAATTATTCATGTTTATTAATGATGGAACAATATCCAAATCTCTGTGCGATACTTTCATGATGTGCATCTCACGGTACGATATTTATTGTGATATTTTCTGTAACAAAATGGTGAATATGCTACTTTTTCTTTTTAAAACACCTTGACAAAACTTTGATTCTGTCATAATCCAAAGACCTAAGATTTAAAAGTGCTTAAAAATTGTTATTTCTTCACGTACTCTGCACTTAAACAGAGCAAAGGATCATGGTCTATGTAGTTCTCTGTTTTTTTTAGCTGCACCATAACTCTTCATTTAAGCAGAGACTTGTAAATCAACATATTGTGATGGTAGACAATATTACTGAGACTTTTGACGATACAATATTACAATATTTCGATTATTGTTACATCCCTAATCTTTATTATTATAATTCAGTTACAGTTGTTACATTATATTTCATGTGAACTAACATAAAATAAAAATAATGAGAACGAAGTGAAAATACGTGGTAGACATGTCTGCTTCACATGTTCTGAAAATGTTTGGCTTATAGGGTATGATATTTATTGCGATATTTTGTGGAGGCTAACAAAATGGTGAATATGCTACTTTTTCTTTTTAAAACACCCTGACAAATCTTTGGTTCTGTCATAATCCAAAGACCTAAGATTTAAAAGTGCTTAATAACAGTTATTTCTTTATGTAGTCTGCACTGAAACAAAGCAAAGGATCATGGTCTATGTAGTTCTCTAACTAACATAAAATAAAAATAATAATAAAAAAATGTGAGATGAGAATGAAATGAAAATATGTGGTAGACATGTCTGCTTTATGAGTTCTGAAAATGTTTGGCTTAAAGGTGGTTTGTTTGTGAAACCATAATTGAATAGCAAGAGCAAAGAATCATGGTCTATGTAGTTCTCTCAGTTTTTTAAGCTATTTTTATTAGCTATTGCTGCACCATAACTATTCATTTAAGCAAAGAGACTTGCAATTCGATATATTGTGATGGTACACGATATTATTGAGACTTTTGACGGTTTCGATTATTGTTACATTCCTAATGTTTATTATTATAATTCAGTGACACTGTACTAGCGAGCTAATGCCCCGCTATTTTAACATTCCCAGACTAAATAAACTCCCATCAATGTCCATTTAAGTCTATTTACTCGTGTCCTGTGAGTTCCCAAAATAGAACACGTGTTAAAAGCCACTATAGAGTCTCCTCTCTCCACTTCCTCTTTCTTTGTAACCTACTGCGCGTAACTTTACAATGCGTTTTTTTCGTGTTTCTGAACTTCACACCTCTTTTTCTTTCTTTCTTGTTTTCTCTCTCTCACAGGATCCCGCTGATTCACGCTCCCAGAGGCTTGTCATCACCGCTGGGCTGGTGGTGTGTGTCGGACCGCCCCTCTTCTACCGCGTGGTGTTGCCGTGCGTTCACCTGTTACGCACGCACGCACGCACACACACATACGCGTTTGAATTCAGTCAGGTGGAGATTAAGCGAGAGGAAACCCGGTACAAAACGTTCACACGTACAGTTTTACGGTTGTCGCTGAGTTTGAAAGTGAAAGAGCGTTTGTAGGATTTCCCCATAGCGGCTTTTTGTGGCTTCGATTTTTTTTTTTTTCTTCTGAATTGGTCGCGGAATTGGAACTGACCGTACTACGATGTAATCACCAAGCTAGAAGCGACGTTTGAAGTTTACGAGAGCACGTTTTCAGGTAAGACAGCAACTTTTAGATCACGCTACAGTAATTTAACACATGGATTTACGTTTTTGGTAGTGTTACAAGGCGCTAAGATAAGATTTGAAGACTATAAACTGTAAACAACAACGCATTCTCTGGTGTATGGAACCGCAATCCTTAGCTGTTAAATGTTGATTATTTTGACCCAGGTCGTTTTAAGCAGTAATTGATCACGTGTCCTGGTCAATTTAAAAGAAATTTAATTATTCTTAGCGAAATTGCAGTGGCTGTCTGTCTTTGGAGTGGTAAGAACAAGAAGAAAAAGAAGAAAGAAAGAAAAGAAAAGTGGTGTCCCCTGATAGCTAAAAATGACAGATTTTTACTGTTTGGCGATTTGGTTAGAATTCTTTTAAATGTCCAATATTACGCAAAATTGACTCTTGTGAGCTTTAAGCCGTGTTGTAATGCTCCTACCTCCTCAAAAACCTACCTACCAGGAGTTGTGTTTTGTTTCATTCACACATATATGAGTAATCATCTCCAAAGCTCCACTCACGAGCAGGACACAGCACTAGTCCAAGTTGTAGGTCAGATCTGTGGAGAGGTGACCCTGCTCACAGTAAGAATGCAGTGGTTTTGAATGCAATAAATAAGAACTGAGAAAAAATAAAAATAATATATTATATATATATATATATATATATATATATATATATATATATATATATATATATATACAATAAGTATTGTGACTTCAGACATTGTTTTTTTTGTTTTTTTTGTATAAGAAGGTTACTCTAAGCTACAGTTGTATTTACATCTCTGAAATTGGTCCATAGATTGTATTTGACAAGACAGAGGTGTAGCATGAAATGGGGGTGAAGAGTGAGGTGGACATTCAGTAAAATAACTATATTTTTACCATACTATATACCTGGTTCATCAAATACTTACTTGTGAGCTTTTAGTCATGTTGGAATTTTGTTTCCTCATCAAAAACATACCTGTGGTTGTGTTTTGTGTCATTCACACACGTTTGACTCATCCCTTATTATTAGTCTGTCTACATCTCCAAAGCTCAAAATGCTCTGTTCCAATGATTCTAGTGAAGTATTTGGAGTTTAAAAACGCAGCAGAGTACTCCTTGTATTACCACATGACATCACAATGTGGAACAGTGTTAAGTGTTTTCCTAGCTAACTATGCAGGGTTTGTGAAAGAAACAAAATGCAACTCTAGGTATATCATAAAAAAAGTAATATGGGTCCATTAATCCTGCACAGTTCCCGCACACACTGCCTCATTGCTGTGAATCATTCTAACACTCCCAAAATTGGCGTTATCTGCACCAATGCTTGTCCCATGACACGGCAGCCAGTGTGCACAAACTCCTCTTTTGTTTATAGCGATCATCCCTCTATCAGCAAACAGGGCAAATGAGTGGGTGGAGGTAAAGGCAAAGGCAAGAGGAATGGAGAGATAGGAATTAGAGTGATAGTGAAAAAAAGAAAAAAAAAAGAAAATGCAGTATCTGGTAGGTAGGGTTTTTGTGACTTATTTTTTTTGCGTTATTATTGCACGAAATGTAAATGAACTGTGAAATTAACCACAAAAGTGCAGAAATGTCATAGCTTTTTACTGTCTTTTTAGACAGTTTTTTTTCATGTTATAAGTTTGCATATCTTAAAAACATCTATTGCAGTATTATCTTTTTTTAAATCTCCAAACTCTAGTGTCAAGCAAGACAAGACTAACTGCGAAAAGGGGTTGTCTTAACAAGGGCTATCCAAGGTCTTAAGGAAAGGTAAACCATAGAACACTGCTAGACCAGGACTGGACCAGGACTAGACTACGTTGAGACCACCTTTAGGCGGGGACTAGACCAGGACTAGACCAGATCTTGGAATATACCATATTATAACATAGGATAAACTATGAGGCATTAAACTTGAGCAACACTGAAATAAAGCAGAACTAAACCAGTTCTAATCAATGAACCATGTCCTCACAGGACTAAGGAGTTATAAAAGAAAATACAGAATCAGAGCATAAATAAGTCCAAACCAGGTCTAAACCAGATCTAAACCAGGACTAAACCAGGACTAAACCAGTTCTAATCAATGAACCATGTCTTCGCAGGACTAAGGAGTTAAAAAAGAAAATACAGAATCAGAGCATAAATAAGTCCAAACCAGGTCCAAACCAGGTCCAAACCAGGTCCAAACCAGGTCCAAACCAGGTCCAAACCAGGTCTAAATCTAGGTCTAAACTAGGTCTAAACTAGGTCTAAACTAGGTCTAAACTAGGTCTAAACCAGGTCTAAACCAGGTCTAAACTAGGTCTAAACCAGGTCTAAACCAGGTCTAATCCAGGTCTAAGCAATGAACCATGTCTTCACAGGACTAAGGAGTTATAAAAGAAAATACAGAATCAAAACCAGGATGAAACCAGGTCCAAACCAGGTCCAAACCAGGTCCAAACCAGGTCTAAACCAGGTCTAAACCAGGGCTAAACTAGATCTCAGTCAGGAATCAGTCAGGTTGAAACCAGGTCGAAAAAACAGGTGGAAACCCGGTGGAAACCCGGTGGAACCCGGTCGGAACCCGGTCGGAACCCGGTCGGAACCCGGTCGGAACCCGGTCGGAACCCGGTCGGAACCCGGTCGGAACCCAGACTACACAGGGACTACACAAGGACTACACAAGGACTACACAAGGACTACACAAGGACTACACAAGGACTACACCAAGTCTAAACTGGGAGCATAATTTAACAACAAAAGACAAAATACTAGGTGTATTTGAAACGATTTGTGTTGTTTTGAGCTGCCCTGTGCTTCTTTGCTCCCACTTTGTTATTAATGCATGTTTATGTGTTGCACCAGCTCTTGAGTCAGACTAAAGGAATCTGTGAGGCTGCAGCTGAAGCAGGATTAGAACTCTGTCATTTACACTTTAATTTGTCAGCAGTCAGTTTGTCATATGCAACAGGAAGAGAAGTATAACACTATCTCAGAATGGCTTTCTTTCATATACCACTTCCTATTTGTGACATCTTGTTTATTTGTTAAAGAGAGCTCAGTAGAATGTGTTGTTCAAATGCCATAAACACGACCTGAACATAACCTCTACTCTAGGGGTGAAATATCGAAATTTGGTGATACTAAATTTTGTGATACATAGTTGTTATTGTGGGCTGCTGTATCCACATATCACCAAGAGTATTTTTTGATCATTTTTGCTTTTTTTGCGACCACACTACAATTTTGTTGCTTATTTTGTGGAAAGATGCAATGTTTATGCAAGACACTGTTTTGATGATTTAAAATGTGACATGATGAATATCGTACAATGAGCCATGTATCGTATCAAATCGTAAGGGACCCAATGATTCCCTACTCTGTTCCCAGCCCAAATATAAGGTAAATATGTTTAAATCAAATAAATATAGCTTTTACTGATAACAAGCGTAATGGTAATTTATTCTTAAGGGAACCATATGTGACATTTTCTATTTTAAATTCTATAAATATGACTTATCTTGGATGTGAAGGCCTTGTTATTTATGTTGTCATTTTTTGTTTTTGTTTTTCACAAGACAGATATCGAATCAGAAAGCAGAATAAGCCTCAGATTCTGCTCTTTCACATGAGGCCTGTCTATATACTGAGAGTGAGAACTTGTATGCGACTTCTGTCTGTAGGTTAAGGCACTGGCGACTCAGGTTCAGTTGAGTTCGTGGTACCTTTTCTAAAACTGTAAGAGTGCAGGCAGTACAGTTTTATCGCAAACTGATAATTGTCTTGCACTTGTGGCTGGTTAAAAGTAAAAATAACAAAAACCTGTAATGTCGTGTTCCAGCTAATGTGTAACATGGTATTTCTGCCATTGCATGTTTAATTTCACAGTCCATCACTGTTTTATACTTACTTACTTACTTGAACCTCCCTCACAACATTTACAGCACTTTTAACAGTATTATGAAACATAAATCCCAAGCACAGATCATTACAAAATAACAGTCGAGAATAACATTACTCACTCAACTCTCCTCCAGTTAAAAGTATAAAAGACCAATTATGTGTTTGATGTGAAATTAAAGCGTCACTGTGCAGGTGTGAGTGTAACACAGACTAGAACTACCATTCTGCTGTACTTTTTATTTGTACTGCATGATGTCATTTATAGTATTGTGCTGTAGGCTCCTGTAGTAGTAGTAGCAGTGTGGTTGTTGATAATGCAAAACAGTTCATGTTTAGTTTGAGAACTCTGTAGACAGTATAAATGTACATTTTGAATTTGACTTTGTCTTCTTGATGCAAAACACTGCAGGCTGGTCTTTACTGTTTGGGTGAAAACAAATACATTTAAAGGTGAGTTGTGTAACATTTCTGGTGCAGGGTCCATCAAATGCTTTTCTCCATGGAGATATTAATTCTTTGTTTGGAATGTTTCATGGCATTAAACCTTTCTATCTTCATGGAGACCAAACCAGACCAAGTTACAGGTCAGATCTGTGGAGAGGCAACCCCACTCACAGTCAGAAAAACACCTGTAATTTAATGAATGTAAGATGGAGCTGTTTAATATTAAACTGTGGATCATTATAAGCAGATCAATGACATATTCATAGAAACAAGAAGGTGACAGACTCCCAACCAAAAAGTTACATAGTGCACCTTTAACTTAAAAATTGACAAAACTTGTTTGTGTAGTGTCACACCTCATTGTGGCTACCTGGTAATTGTGTCCATTGTAAATAGGGATACATTATATATAATGTAATAATGTCTAATTCTGATTTTTCTGGCAAGCATTGTGATTAGAGATTGATGTTTTAAAATTCTATTCAAAGTTCACATGTTAAACACATCCAGAAAAATTGACAAAAAGACATCTGAACTGATGAACTAATACAAAAATCATATTTCAGAACATGTTTATACAGATTTAAACTACAGGGTTAACCATTTTTATGCAAAATAAGAAGGGGGATTTTGTTGATTGGTCTTTCAAAAATTCAGGATTTGTAAA